AAGCTAATGAAGAAAGAGACAAGAGAAGGATCATACCTCGTCTATAAGACCAGCTCAGACTATGCTCCTTATTCACTAGTGTACAGGTAAAGGAACATCCTCTACTGTACATAATAATAATAATAATAATAATAATGATATACTGCTGCTGGGAATTGTTAGTTTCAATTATTAATGTACATGTACAGTAGTTCAGTGATTGTTGTGTTTCCTTGGTAAAGGTACATGTACTTCTTTTAATAATAATGTTCATGGACATGTTCCATTGAAATATTTCCAAGTTTAAAGAATGCACATCAATATGTATACCTGTATGCTGCAATTTGTTCCAATTGACAAGTTCCTGGTATTATCAATGAATTGACTAATTGCCTAATTATTATTTTATAATGAATAAAGAGATGTAAGCATTGTGTAGTTAGAATATCATTTAGACAGTGACTCTACCAAGAACCGTCATTACATCATTACTTACATACACATACACACAGTAATGATGTTATGTCTGTATCCTATTCTCTATCATTCCCGGAGAGATATCACATCTTACATGTACATGTACACAAATAGATATACATGTACATGTACATATGTTTTGTATACAGATATTGCATTACTGATTATTCATTGTGTTCTTATACCAAGAATATGATATTTATAATAACTTGATGACCTTTTCCATTCAACTAATAACAACAGTTTGTACTAACCTAATTTACAACCCTCCCCTCTCTCTCCCCCTCCAGATACAAAGGGAGTGTAATCCATTCTCCGATATTATCAAGTCAAAGATCTTCACACGCTTATACGCTGAATGGAGTATCCGCTCCAGTACTTTATAAACTAATAAACTATTACAATGAGAACCCTATCAACGAGGACTGTGTCTTAGAATACCCTATAGAAGACAAAGAGGTAAGAGTATTCACATTAATAATAATAATATTATTTATTATTTATTATTATTTTCAATAGTCTAATTTGAGTAATTGTGCTATCACTTCTTCTGACTCCACCGGAGATCCTCTTAAAAACGAGCTCTGTTTCACTAGAGGAACACTCATCACTAACATATCAAGAAGATCCAATAAATGGTAAAGAAGAATAAATAATAATAATAACAAATATTATTATTATTTATTATTTATTTATCAGGTGTGTTGGTGATCATAGAGGAGATAGACAAAAGTTCTTTCCAACTAGCGAAGTACGGTTCTTGAAAAAGGACGAACTGCAATACATTAAGCAACTGGTAAGTGAAATATACATGCACATGTACATTATACATGTATATGCAGTATTAGGATTTCGCTAGAATTACCATGTAATCTAGTGCATGTACATTATGATGTAAAATGATGTCATACATGTGCTTCATGATGTCACGTGATGTCATACATGTACATGTACAATTAGTGTTACAATTATCCAGTAATATCATACATTAATCACTCATTGAGACACGTTACTATTAATAGTAACACTTGCATGTATCGTTACTATTAATAGTAACACGTTAGTGGGACACATGTACATGTAGTCTTCAGAAGAATTA